CTCTATTGCACTTTGTTACTATTTTTAGAATCCTCTATTGTTCATGAGAGTTTGAAGGCTTACATAACATTACTTTATATTATATACTTTGTTTGGAGTTAAGATTTGTTTGGTTTATGTTACAAGTGTTTATGTATATTTATCATAAGTTAATTTATGAAGAAGCATCTTAACCATTTATGATTCTAAGTCTTAACTGTTTAATTTAAATAAACTTCTTAATTTATGCTGAATTAAAGCCAACGTTTCAATTTATACCTTCATCGGGGCCTTGGACATGAATACTGTCTGGGTTGAAAACCACTTTTTGCACATTTTCATACATCACAAGGCATCCTATAGAATGACATTATTCAGTCATCAGGCCATCATCTGTGTTACCTGTATTGTTACCTATGTTTGCTTCACTAATTTAGGTGCCATCTTGTGGTTAAATAAAAACACACCTGGCAAAGAACAAATTGTCTCACATTCAAAAACCTTATATCCACGCGTTCGGTGAATGGAGCTGAATTTCCCTATGTAGGCCACGCCCACTTCCACCTAGATTTTTTTTTTCGCTAGAGCGCAAAATGTCCATAAGTTTTCGTGATCCATCCATGCGCTTTTGTCCGATTCACGCAAAATTTTGCACGTAGCATCTGGAGACCGTCCTGGCAAGAAAAGTAATTTAAAGTATTTTGATATTTAAAAAAATAAGGAAGTTATAAAATTAGCACTTCCTATTGATTTTTCGTCAAGAAATATGTTTGAGAATTTGTTTTGAGAAATATGTATGAAACGTGCCGAGACGTACAAAAAAGCCTCTAGGACCCATGCCCCATTCCCACAGGAAGTCGGCTATTTTAATTTTAAATTGTCACTCTTGGCGGCCATTTTGTGGTCATTTTCACTTTTTTGGCTTGTATTTGAACGAACTCCTCCTAGGAAATTTATCGGATCTGCTTCAAAATTGGTCAGTACAGCCAAAACATGGTGCTGAATGAACGCTGTTCATTTTTTGACTGTACGTTACACTTTTACTAGAGTCCGATTGATCACAGATGTATCGGTGTTGTATGTTGTGTTATCCGATATATCCGCTGATATGAAATGGTATAATGTGTACAGTCAAAAAATGATGCTGAATGAACGCTGTTAATTTGTGTCTCGTCAAAGTTGGCCATTTTGAATTCTGTGGTCTTTTTTTCAAAGTGATAAAACACAAACACCCCTCCACTGCCACTAGCCACATCTACAAACCATATTTCCTAGGGAGTATTGTTCGTGGAGCATAGTAGGAAACCGCTGGAAGTCAAGTATTAAATTGCGAGATAAATAGGGGACTTATCAAATCTACTTCAAAATTGGACAGTCTTATAAAAACAAACTGTAGATGAAGAGTTGAGCTATTTGTGACTGTACGTCAAACCCCGTGCCAGTGATGACTTGTCGAATTCAGCCGATTTGCCCTGAACACGTCCTCATAACTTCAGCGTACATGGTCCAATCTCAATGAAACTTCACAGGTTTGATAAGAGTGCTGCCTTGAACACGTCTACATGACAATATTCAGACATAGTGATAGCGCCACCTACTGGCAACAGGAAGCAACCGCTGCATGGCGAATTTGAGCTGATTTACGTGAGATTTTCATGTCGTGGTCCGCACGTGTTGTGACGGCACATGACGCGGCTGCAGCACGCCCCAAGTTGCATGGAGTGCGAGGTCCCGCCCAACACTGCTTGCAGCTTTAATTAGGGACCGAGCACTAACAAGTGCAAGGACTCTTTTGTTCTTCTAGGAATTATTATTATTTTTCTGCCAGTACGACAGCATATTTGGCCCCCGCAACATGCTCAAAAAGTCATGAAATTTGCACAAAATTCAAACATAGCAAAACTACTGATATGACATTGTCCCCGTGCACGGGCGCCGCCAAACGTCTAAGCCACGCCCCCCAGAATCAGCCCCCAAGACACGTAAGGCCCACATGTACGAAAATTGCTACGCATGTGTGTCATGATTAAAGAAGCAGAAAAGCCTCTTGGACCCATGCCCCAAAACCCGCAGGAAGTCTGCAATTTCGATTTTAATTTTCATCATTTTGTGGTCATTTTGACTTTTTGGGCTTGTATTTGAACAAACTCCTCCTAGGGAATTTCTGGGATCTGCTTCAAAATTGGTCAGTACAGTCATAAAATGGTACTGAATGAACACTGTTCAATCTGTGAGTCTACGCTGAAGGGCGTGTCCGTTGCGTGCCGTCAAAGTTGGCCATTTTTAAGTCCGTAGTCATTTTCGGTGAATTTTCGCCTTGTATTTGAATGAACTCCTCCTAGGGAATTAATCGGATCCGCTTCAGAATTGGTCAGTACAGTCAAAAAATGTTGCTGAATGAACGCTGTTCATTTTCTGACTGTACATTGAAGGGCGTGTCCGTGGCGTGCCGTCAAAGTTGGCCATTTTGAACGAATGTCACACTGATGTCATTTTTGGCATTTCAGGGCTTCTATTTTAACTAACTCCTCCTACAGGTTTTATTGGATCTACTTCAAAATTGGTCAGTCCAGTCAAAAAATAGTGCTGAATAAACGCTGTTCATTTTTTGACTATACGTTGAAGGGGTGTCCATGGCGTGCCGTCAAAGTTGGCCATTTTGAAGTCTGTGGTCTTGTATTGGAACAAACTCCTAGGGAATTTATCAGATCTGCTTCAAAACTGGACAGTACTCTTGAATAATGTTGCTGATTACAAGTTGTGCTATTTATGACTGTACGTCGAAGGGCGTGTCTGTGGCGTGCCGTCAAAGTTGGCCATTTTGAACAAATGTCACACTGTGATGTTATTTTTGGCATTTCAGGGCTTCTATTTTAACTAACTCCTCCTACAGGTTCTATTGGATCTACTTCAAAATTGGTCAGTGCAGTCAGTTTTTTTCGTCCAACATTGTGCCCGTGGCTTGGTGTCCCGTGGCATCCAATTTCAAACCTTCGCCATGAAAGAGGGATTCGTCATAACTTCTGCGTACATGATCCGACTGCAACGAAACTTCACATGTTCGATAAGAGTCCCGCCCTGAACATGTCTATGTGATAATATTCGGTAATAGTCAGAGCGCCACCTAGTGGCAACAGGAAGTATCACGTTTTATACTTTCATGTTCTACTCCTAGCAGGATGATCAGATCCAGCTGAAATTTCCTTATAAAATGCAAAACACATTGTTGATGATATGTGATGACTGTGGTGAGGGGGCGTGTCTGTAGCGTGGCGGGAAATTTTGATGTACCACCACAAAACACGAATTTGCTATAACTTGAGTGTACATTGTCCAATCGGCTCCAAACTTCACTTGTCTGATAAGAGTCCCGCCCTGAACACATCTATGTGATAATATTCAGTAAAAGTGAGAGCGCCATCTAGTGGTGAAAGGAAATGTCATTTTTTTATACTTCCATGTTCTACTCCTAGTAGGATGATCAGATCAAGCTGAAATCTAGTCAGAAAATGGAAAACATGTTCTTGATGATATTTCGTGATTGTGGTGAGTTTTTGTTACAGGGCGTGTCCGTGGCGTGGCGTCAAACTTTGATGTACAGAACAGAACACACAAAGTTACTATAACTTGAGTGTACATTGTCCAATCGGCTCCAAACTTCACATGTCTGATAAGAGTCCCGCCCTGAACACATAGTGATAGCGCCACCTAGTGGCAACAGGAAGTAAGTGCTGTGTGGCGATTTTTAGCTGATTTACGTGAGATTTTCATGTCGTGGTCCGCACGTGTTACGACAGCACGTGACGCGGCCGCAGCACGCCCCGAGTTGCGTGGAGTGTGAGGTCCCGTCCATCGCTGCTTGCAGCTTTAATTATTATTATTATTATTATTATTATTATTATTAATAATAATATTTGAGGCATCAAAGAAAAGGGAAAGGCTATTTCACACACTTTGATATAAGAAAATTAATAGAACTGCACAGCAGTCCAACATAAAAACAAATAAGAAGCAGCAGCCGACTTGCAGAGAAATAACAGAGGCCATAAATGATTGTTCAGAGAGAGGGAGAGAGAGGAAAAAGTGGGGAAAATCACAAGGCAAAGAAAGACATTTCTTTCAGAATAATCCATCAAACTAGAAGGGTCCTCCCCTGAAAATGTTAATATATAGTGATTTATAAACAGATTTTCACTTCGCGCCTGCACCTGACTGGGCACCAGACTGCGTAACTATTAGATTGGACAGATACTACCGACTTAAGACCAGGCATAAGCACTGTGGGTGAGTTTGGCTTACACCAGTTATGAGCTTATTGTGGGTAAAATATAGACTACACAGATGAAACACATAAGGCTTATCATTTTCATAAAAGACTCAGGAAAAATCCGAATGCACTCAAGTACTTCTGCTAGAAGAGAAAATCTGACAGAACAAACAAACAAATGTGAAGCAAAGGTGAGAAAAATAAGAAGGGGACTGACAGAGGAGGCGGGGAGATTCCAGCCTATGTACGAGGCTGCTGTTGGCTGCGCGTATATCACAGCGTCACATTTGAGTCACAGATGGCATCCTCATCTTAGGTCTGTGTGAGGAAAGAGCATTTTACATCAATCAGTGAGGACTCTTGCTGTGGTTCCACTCCACTGATGCCAGGGGAAGTTGATTTACCTCAGGAGCTGACTAACGAGGCATGGAGGGCTGTCCCTGCTAGATACACAGACATACACACAAACACAGGTCTCGTGGCTTTACCCTCAAACCCCACCCCCCTTGACTCTGGTTCGTTACCCTCTATTTACTTCTATTGTGTTAATCCTCTCCCCTTTCACATCCCCCCTCCTCCCCGCTCTCTTGCGCGCTCTCTCTTTTGCTCCTCCCCTCTCTTCCCTCAAAGCCAGCAGGCTGCTATTTGATCCAGGCTGCTTGTTACATGATCTCCTGGAATACAACGCTTCCACACTCCTCCATGGCCTTTCGGGATGTTCTCGTTTTGCGGTGCAGAGAGCACAGAAGGATGCCAGTGCCACGCTGAACCTTCATCATTTAACCTTTCCTTCTCCCTCCTCTCCTGTGATCTTAACCTGTCTATCTGTCCGTCTCCCTGAACTCCCCTCTCACCAGCTGCTGAAACCCCCTCACCCCTGTCTCCCGATTAATGCTGCCGCCCCCTCGACAATGTTACCATGCATTAACTGGCTGCAGCCTTTCCTTGCCTTGATCTCCTCCACCTTGCTCACGCGAGGCCATAACTGTCCATCTAGCTGTTTGTGTCCAGACCACCACACTGTGGACTGCACCAGCAAAGGTCTAACTAGAGTCCCGGACTCCATCCCTCTGGACGTTCGACGTCTTCTGCTCTCCAATAACTGGATTCCCTGGATTCCCTCAGACTTCCTGGTCCTGTACAGCGATCTAGTCTACCTGGACCTGAGGAATAATTCCCTCTCCCAGCTGGAGCCAGGGACCCTGAGTTCCTCCTCTAGATTAGTCTTCTTGGACCTGGGGAGCAACAACCTGACAGAAATTCCCTCTGGGACATTTGGGGAGTCCAGGAGTCTGATCAAGCTGCGACTGGGGAACAACCCCTACCTAAGTATGGTAGGCAGGGATGCTTTCACTGGGTTGACTTCTTTGAGGGAGCTGGAGCTGGAGAGAAATGGTCTCACAGAGCTGGACGTCAGCATCCTGGAATCCCTGCCGTCCCTCCGGATGTTACGTCTTGAAGGCAACCCCTGGTTCTGCAACTGCCACTTTGCCAAACTGTTTGTATGGCTGATGGAGAACCGCCACAAGCTCCCAAAGGGTAAGCTGCTTTGAGTACAGACATGCAGTCTTTGTCCCTGGAATGGGGAAATACAATAATTTCTTTGAGATACATTTACTCTTAAGAGTTGCTAGAGCTAGAGAAATCCAAAGGCTTGACAAAAACACATCAATATAAAAACAAATCTTGTTGGTTAAATTGATGATACTGAGTGCAGGTCTCCATCTTTGTATTCAGAGGTCCACAAAACATTATCTCAATCTGTTAGTCCAAAAATGGCAGTGAATTAGAAGACAGTTACATCTTGTTTATCTGGTGCTAGAGTTGACATATTTTGGTACGATCAGAATCAGGATGGACAGAGCTGTGGAACCAGACAGGTAGATGACACAAAGTTGTAGTGGCACACAGACATCATGGCAACTTGCAGATGCAGAGTGAAGCAGATTTACTTCAGTAGTAGTGTTTTCAGGCATACTTAGACTTAAGATAAACACAGGATTAAAATGCCTCTATTGCATAAAAAAATACACAAAAGAGTCAAAAATACAAAACACTGAAAACAAAACAAAAAAAATTTGCTAAGTGATTCATTGTTTTGAGACATTTTTTTAGCTGCAGCCCTATGTAAATTTACACTGTATTACCAAATAAAATCTGTGCAGAAACATTATGGAGCTCTCCACATACTGACACATACTACATGTAATCAACTATGTTTTGCAATGTGAAGTAGCGTGGGATCACAGGAGTTGTTGTCTTTACCATTTACCACATTTACCATTGCACTGTCACTGCAGTCAGCTTCTCCCGGTTAGGATTCTTTTGGTTTTTATCGTTCAGGAGGTTGCTACCAGGAGCCCAATAATCCACAGAGGTCTCCTCCTCTCCAAAACAAACGGACCCACTGATTAAAACTGCTAAAAACACTGAATAATGCAGTTCCACCTTAAAAATCACTATTCCTCCCACACTGTTGGGCAGACTAAGGACATCCCAGAGGGACTGTGAGCCAAGCTGCTGCTAATGTTAGCTCAGCTTGTTTCTCTAATAACTTAAGACCCAGACATCCAATGACTAAAATCCTTCATCCGTTTCAAATCTAGAGTTAACAAGCACCAAGATCTAAACAGTGGATGGTAAAAATGTGGCTTCAGACTGGATAAAAAGTAAATGTATGATATATGCTTCTGTCAGACAACCACAATGCTGATACATGCACAAGAGGATATGACACAACTGCCAAAGGTCAGTGGCCTACACTTCAAGTGTTTCTAATTTCTTTCTACAGCATAAAGGCGTTAAAAAATAAATGTATATGTTCAGGGATATATGAAGCTGGTGGCGAAAGGAGAACAATATAAAGCGATGAATGTTTAGTAGTATAAGAACTACTACTTTCACCCCTGGATATGTTACATACGTAATGAAAGTTACAAATAATTTCATTCAATTCAACATTTAAATTTATTTGTATAGCATAACAAAGGTTATTCTGTACACAGAGTCAACAGTTCCTACCATGAGCAAGCACTTGGCGACAGCAGCAAGGAAAAACTTTTTAAGAGGCAGAAACCTCTGACAGACCCTGGCTCTACATGGATGACCAGACCTTAACTAAAGTCAACGTTTTTCTTACTCACGTGACTTCAACAGTACATCAAAACATTACAACAGATGGGCTCGTCCAGAAATTTGCTAGAAAGTACCTACAGTGTCTTAGTTTAAAGTGTAGGGCCACTGATCATGTTTGATGACTGGGAAATGAGAATGGGCTGTGCTATATTAACAACACAGTGTAGATTTTAGAATTCCACAAGCCTACAATTGATTTGCAGAGAGCTTGGCTTATTTTTACTTATAGATCACTTCAGTACAAAGAGTAACAATGGAATGAACAAGCTCTGCTGGTTTTTAACTGGGCTGTTGTGGTTCCTGAGTTTTAAATAAGAATTACAAGGCAACCTACATACTATGAACACAATCTCGACTGTTTACATTGGTCAGGTCAAAGGTGAATGAGCAACATGCCCTATTCAGCACTACAGCACATCTGATACTGTGACACCACAACACTGACACCAACTACTCATGTCTGGACTCCTTCCTCACAGCAAAAAGACATTCAATACACAACTACAGTACACACACACACACATACACTGCAGTTAAATGAAATGGCTTTAGGAGTTGAGTGAACAAACAGAAGTTTTTTGGGAGCAGACACACTTTCAGATGACATTGTATTTAGGCCTGGGATGATATGAAAATGTCATGTCATGATTGTCTTGACCAAAATAATTGCAATACACAATTATAATGTGATAATGATAAAATATACTTAAAACTAAAACATACTGGAATCGCTTTACATTACATTTTGTTAAGAAACACTTACATTTACTGCATTTCCACACATCCAGTTTAACCTTTTTTGTGAGGGATACAACGGGCAAGCTGAGCCTTTAGCCACGGTGACAGGTTTATGATTTTGAAATAGCTGGAAAGATAACGACTCCCCCTTGTCCCCTTGTTCAAAATAAATCAGGAAATCAATATAGGACTGTTTACTGGAGAGCTAGACAGCTTTTCTAAGTCAAGCCATGAGAGGATATTCATGATTATCACAATATGCACCACAATAACTGCATCTGGTTTTATTGCGATGCGATTATGGAACATCCCATCCCTAGTTGTCTTGCAATAATTTTGTATCCGTGGTCCTGGCTCTGTATGTGTGTGTGTGTGTGTGTAGGTGTGTGTGTGTTTGTGTGTGTAGCTGTATGTCCCTGGTTCTTCGTTGCCATTTTGTTTTCATGTCAACATGTACAGTATATGTGCCCACCTATCATGCGCAGGGTACACACTGTGTTGCATGTATGCCTGTGCATGTATGTCTGTGTGTGTTTTATGTCCGTGGTGCCGATATAAATTAATAAGTATATTGTATGCGTGTGTGTTTGTACATGTGTCTTTGTTCACGGCTGTGGCGTAGAGGCAGAGCAGGTCATCCCCTAATCAGAAGGTTGTTGGTTCAATCCCCCGCTCCTGTCGCAAGATGCTGTGCATCGGTGTGTGAAAGGGTGAATGTGGCACATAGTGTCAAAAGCGTTTTGACTCGTCAGAAGACTAGAGAGGCGCTATACAAGTACAGGTCCATTTACCATCCTCCTGCCACATGTTGAAGTATCCTTGAGCAAAGAACCCCAAATTGCTCCTGTGCATTGGTGTGTGAATGTGTATCAATGCATTAGTTTCTGTTCGATGTGCCATCGCTGTGTGAAAGGGTAAATGTGGCATGTAGTGTAAAAGCACTTTGAGTGGTCGGGAGACTAGAAAGTACAGGTCCATTTACCATTTCCCTCCCATTAAGAATATATTTCATTGGTCATGCTCATGTACTAATGTTTGTATTTTTGATTCTGATAATGTTGTCCTATTTGTGTCCCTATCTGTATATATGCAGTGTAAGGGGTGTGTGGTGTGTGTGTGTGTGTGTGTGTGTGTGTGTGTGTGTGTGTGTGTGTGTGTGTGTGTGTGTCTGTCTGTCTGTCTGTCTGTCTGTCTGTCTGTCTCCTGCATGTCTGTGTGGGCATGTCTGGCTGCCTGTCGTAGTGCCACGTGACTGGAATATCACCAAGCGATGAGGTCACTGAGTCCTTTTTCATGTGGAAAACCCCTTCTGGTCTTACAGTGACTCACACAAACACACACACGCACGCTTGACACTGATGTCTAGTGACTCTTGGGTACAGCAGTGCTACAGAGGGAGCATGATCACATGGAAGTGCCTTTCTCTACACAGTGGACAAAATGTTTTCGAGGTGTTATGGTGCATTGGTATAGAAAACATTTTTTTCATTTAGCAAAACCATCTTCAACAAAAAAATTACATTTTGGCAAAGAGCAAATAACTAGTGTGACAATTTTCGGGGAAAAAAACACGCAACACTGCCCGTACGGTAGATAAAACACGATAAAGTGTCCACTAGGGTGCTAATACTAATGGTGACTAAGCAGTTTCACCATAAATGCATCAAAACTTTCTGTGCACTGGTGTTTTTTCTGCCCCTGCCCCTGTTTCTTAAGACTGATGCCCCGCTGATTCTTGCCTGCAGTGTATGGAGGACCCCAACTGTTAAAATCAAAAACAAATAAATGACTCAATATATAAATTAAAGGTCCAGTGTCCAATGCATGTTCCTAACTTCACTTCTTCCCCGGAGTTCTTGTGCTTTCTCGTCTCGCAGGTTCTCATGGATCCTGGTGGTGCCTCCTGCCATGGTCCTGCTTGACTGCCATTGCTAATATCACTGATATTGTTGTTGTTGTTATTATTATTATTATTATTATTATTATTATTATTAATATTATTATTACTACAGTTACTATTATTACTATTGTCACTGCTCATTGTCCCCCATTGTTGTAGTCGTCGTCATCATCTTCTTCATGTTCCTCATCATCAGTCACTACTATTAGTGTAGTTGTTGCTACTGTTGTTGCTGTGCACCTGTCTGTCTGTCTGTCTGTCTGTCTCTCTCTCTCTCTCTCCCTCTGTCTCTGTCTCTGTCTCTCTCTCTCTCTCTCTCTCTCTCTCTCTCTCTCTCCCCAACTGGTCGAGGCAGACGACCACCCACCTAGAGCCGAAGGGTCTGTCCTAGGTTTCTGCCTCTTAAAAGGCAAACTTACCTAAGGTCCTCAACCTCCCACCCCATACCTTCAATACTGTTGTAACAAGTTTGCTCTTTACTCTCAGGCAGGCTATTTTTATTGAGGACTTGGCATGATAATTTGCCAGCTTTAGATGTTTTCAACCGATGAGCAGGTAGGCCAGATTGCACACCAATGGAAACCAATCATGCTGCTAGCACTTGAACTGAACACAGGAGAGAACAAAGGGTAGGGGGAGATATAGAAAGCAGGAAGAAAACACACACAAGCCCTGCTCAACATGTAACAAACGTCATCTAGCAACACATTTTGTTTGCTGTGTTGTGTAGAGCTTGACATTGGGTAAACCTTCAAACTGAATCTGTTACAATCTGTTTGGGGCATTTTGCCTTTATTTGTCAGCCAGTAGAGACACAGGAAACATGGGAAGACAGAGGGATATGACATGCAACAAAGTTCCCCCAGCCAGGGACTGTAGACAGGGCTCTGTTTAGTCTGAATAGTCATCTTACCCTTGTTACTGAGTTCTTAGGCAGGCTGTTGATACAACTATGACTTTGAGAAAGTACAGTTGACATCTGTGCCTGTTGTCTTCTCTGTTCCCAGGTATGGAGGGGATAGAGTGCTCTCTGCCTCTAGATGGCCGTCGTGTCCCCCTCAGTTTGCTCTCTGAAGACAGCTTCCGGGAGTGCCGTGGTACCCTCACCCTCACTGACTACCTCATCGTCATCTTCTCTGGCATTTCCGTCTCAGTGGCGGCCATCATGGCCAGCTTCTTCCTCGCTTCCACCGTCCATTGCTTCCAGCGCCTCAGCAAAGGCAGCAAAGGAGACGAGGAGGAAGGAAACGACTGATGGGAGAAGGGAAAGGGGAAATGGATAACATAAAATGCAAGCGGTTCATACAAAACTCTTGCTCAGAAGTCGTTGGTATCCCAGAGAAAGCTCGGCAGATTCTGAGAGCAAGGGGAGATCACTGGGGAGGGTGAAGAAGCCACTTAGAGAGCTCTTATCATGTCAAATACAAGATTACACTTGAGCTACTGACTGGTTTGGGAAATACCGAATAGGCTTGAATCACTGTGACTAGGTATTGCGTTCACTAAATGTAGCAGTTTCTACTCCTGTGTACAGTACTGACTGTAGAGACTGATCAGAAATGAAATCGCTTCGTGTTAGAAACAAAATGTGCACAGAAATTAATTTGTGAAAAATATATGCAGTCCTCCTCATTGAGACTGGACATTGGATATAAAGGGAAAAACCTGGGAGCTAACCAGAAAAAGCACAGCTCTTTATTGTTAGCCCTGTCCTGTAGAGGTCTTCATGGGTCTTGAAATATATACCCAACTGAAAAAGGACTTGCGTGACTTGTGCCAGGACTGGTATTAGTCCTTTAAGATGGTCACTCTGTCAGACCAGGCGATCATAGATTCATGGCTTGTTGTTTTTTACACGGCAGAACCAATAACTTAATTTCTCTTATACACTTCACAATTTTCACACACAGAAAATAAACTAAAAGTTGTCAAACTTGGCAAGAGAAGGCCAAAACAAGACTAGGCCGAGAGTATATAGCTGGACTGTCTATGGTCATTGTGCTAAATTGTGGCCACACAGATAGTGGTAGTGTCTGTAATGTGAATTCCTGGATGTTAAATGTTCATCTGCATTTTCTGTAGTGGTCCCAATAAAATTTGTTCTTAAAGTATACTGAAGTAGCATGTCACATGACATGGTTAAGCTACATTTGAGTCAAAACCTTTTAGAAATGGAGATGGAAAGAATAATACCCCTCTTATCTTAAGATTTTTGATTTGGAAGAGAACTTCTAATGAAGCAGAAAGCTTCAGTCTTCAGATAGTAGCATCCAGTACCAGCAGAATATTTTGTTCTTAGTGTGCAGTAGATTTGGAATTAGTGGAACTGCTGCAAAAGCCCCTTGAGGAAATATCAAGGACTGTTTTTGGCTATTCATGTTGAAAGCAACAGCCAATGGTAAACTCCAACTCTTGACCGACCAATGGTATAACGTCACTCAATACGTCAGGGACAGTCAAGTCCAGCCAAAACTCTTAACCCACTAGGCTTTTTGTTGGTTGCACTGACTGTTGTCCACTTTAATAAACTACACGTGGTAAGAGAAGCAGTTGCCTGATATAATGTCTATTCCCGACATTACTCGCACTAAAGATGGACTCTTGGTACATTATAACAAAGCATAGACTTGTAAACGAATGTAATTTCACACAGTTTATCTTTCACCTCGCGAAACTCAATGCATTAAAAAAATCTGATTGTGCTACAGTAGTATATCCCTATCCTTGCAGTGAAAACACCACACAAACTGCAAGTCAAAGTTATCATTTTCTCCTGAATTCTGTAAAATACATGCCAAGGCACAAAGAAATAAGTCAAATAACTCATAGATAAAACCACCCACAGCACTTAGCTTTGCTTGGAGAGTCATTGTAAAATAATTGTAGAAAATGGTTGATGTTTTAAGTCAGACACTACAAAGACCTGACTTGTGTCGGGTTCTCAGGTTTTTAGAGGTTCAGGTCTGCCCAAGACCTCTACTGAGAGGTTTCCACTGGTACAGCTGACGGCTAAGTGCCTTGCTCAACAGCATCTTGGTTGTTGATAGAACAGTTGTCAGGACTGGAAAATTTGCTTTCTCAAATATTCATATAAACTGAATCTGGTAACTTTGCACATTGGCAAACTAAACTGCAAAAAAAAAAAAAAATAGCAAGTCCATTGCAGTGCTGGTTGACAGGTAGATATGAGATATTCTTGGATTTTACTTCTAAAAGTAACAATTCCTTCTGCTATTGTAGACTTTTGATTAATCCAGAAGCCTACTGTAATCCACTGAAGCAATCAGGCAATAATATTTCAGGTACAGCTAACGGTAGCAGAGAATTTCCCTCCTTACAGAGCCTTACCCACAGAGCCTACATGCACCAGTTTGCATTAAATGCCACCTCAAGTCAATTATGTATGTAGTATGTTATCTCTTATTACAGAAAAAGGATCCAGAAGCACTCCAGAACAGAGCCAGATTACAATGACCCAAATAAAGCTTCAACTACAGAAAGTTGTTTCCAGAGCTCAAGTTCAGGAAGTAGTCGGATGTCTAGCTATATCTACATGTCAATCTGACCATCCTGGCCTAAAAACAACATGTTTTTGCCCGCTGTCATTGTTTTCTTTCTTGTTGGAGCATTAAAATTCCCCTTAACTGGAACGCAGGGACCGTGTCCAATCAGAAATAGCCCTGACCAAAAATATAATGGGGGTCTCAAAACATCTAAGGCAATACAGTATTGTATTTTCTTTGTTTTTTGTTTTGAACCATATAGATTTAAAATGTATAGAGCTAAAATTCCTGTCCCCCTTATTGCATATGCACTGAAGATACACAGAATAGAGATCACTGAATTAGCATTAATCATATCCTAAATTATTTTATATTAATTAATGCTGAATAAAGAAATTTAATTACATTTAATTGTTTATTTGCCTAGGGACAAGCATGTAGTACAAACAAATGCCACACACCACAACACTTAATGCTATAAGGCATTCGGTCTAGACCTGCTCTATTTGAAAAGTGTCCTGAGATAACTTCTGTTATGAATTGGCGCTATACAAATAAAACTGAATTGAATTGAACATTTATAGGTTAAGCTAATTTGCAATGGCAATCTGTAGATAACATAATATATTGTAGCTGCCTGGTAAATGTAAAGAAATGCCTCAAAGAGATGGTATAACATACATTGGTTGTAGCATAGCCACCACAATGGTAAAAAGCTGAAGCCTGTACAGTGCCTTAAGATGACTAACAGCCAAGGTGTTGTCTTTAATTTTTTTTTATAGGATTCCAGAGCTGAAATTCATATCCACATCATCTTTAAATAAGAGTCAGTATGTTATTTCCATTTGAGTTTGTGCTGCCAAAAGAGCCATAGCTATCATTTAGGACACCAGAGTCATGTCGTCTGCATTTTTGTTTGTTTTTGGGGTTTAACAGTTAAAACTTAAACATGTTGAGTATTCTTTAGGCAGACTCTCGTATTTCAATGGAGAATGCTTTAAAACATTTAAAAGCTTTAAGTGCTGAGATAGTTATGTAAGAGATATCACCCGAGAAGATGTAATTGATAACGTGGAGGCCAGAACCTTACGTTGATTCTGAATTACAGCCACTTTGAAGTGCATTCCTTGCCAAGGAAAAAACACCATTATTTAAAATTTCATTTTGCAGTCAAAATCTAATGTTTTTTACAAGCCATAAGTCAGTTTCCCTGGTAACACTGGTGGGTTTGACTAATACCTGGAACCATCATTATAAGGACTACACCAGTAAATAGGAAGAACCTTAGATGTGACTTGGCAACTGTAGATATTTCTGGTTCCCTTCACTCATAAAACCCTTTGGCTCAGCTATGAGCCAGAGTGCAACGTTACTCTACAAGCCAGAGAGCATTATGCTAGCAAGAAACAAAAGTTTGAAAGTCTCATCAAAAAAACATGGGTGATATCACATAGACACCACATCCATATTTTTATATTATATTTTTATGCTATTCATGGCAACAAACATCATATTCTGTACAGCTTTATATCTACGATGAGCTCATTTATTTACCCTCATAACAATATATGGACATCTACATGGATGTCAATATCTTGTAAGTTGTCTTCTGTTTCAGTCTTATGTATGGAACATGAGACAGTATTTCAGTTGTCTGTTTGTCTATAATCAACTGTCCACATTTCCCCTCAGAATATGTATGTTGACATACTGTTAAATGGTCAGCTCACTCCCAAAGGCCGCTATTTCAGTAGTTTCAATACAGATTTTTGCCCCATTTTTCATTTTATTTTGAATTCATCGTGTCATCTACAGCCAGCCTGTCTCACTGCCAATGTAAACTATCATCCCTCTGGAAGGATATGGGAACACAAACTGCATCAAAAGAGTAATGATAAGGGGCAGTGGCACTCTACAAGTATCAATGCTGGTCTATACTTGGTGTTACAAAAGGTAGGCATGTAGAGGCTGTGTCAGCCTGTAAAGACTCTCTCTGGACATACCATCAGTCTGAGTGTGCAGTAACTCGGGTGCCAACTAGATTTGTAATCTCTAGGGCTTTATGTATTATGATTACTGAGGATGAACAAGGATTGTCAGGACATTTCAGTGTGTATAATAAAGGGAGTGAATATGTAATAAAAATATTTTTCTTTGTAATGTCAATGTTCTAAGTCCATTTTGTTCTATCTGATAAAACTGCTTGAGTATCTGCTAAGCTGCTCATGCGTCTCCCTAGTGTGACGTTTCTCTTTACCAGAGTCCAGATGATACAAAATGAAATAAATATTGCAACTGGGTGCAACAACTAAAGAAATAAGCATCCCCAAACCCAAAGGTCTGACAAAATATTAGCACATTAAATATTAATAGAATAAAAGAAGATTCGCTTTTACATCAGAGAGCAAACCAACTGTTGAACATGGGGTGTAACGTATACTGCAAACATTTGGGGTCATTAGTAGAGTTTTGTAATGTTTGGGGGTTATATTTGGATTTGGATTAAAGATATAGATTCATACCATCAAAATCATTTTAAATTCCAGTTCTGTTGTGCACTTGGTAAGACAACTCAATTTAATTTTAAAAACAACAAGTTAGTACTCTCCAAGGCCAGTTTAAAGCTGCTGTATTATTTTATTGTAATATTGTTTTTGTCATATTTGCTGAAACCTTTATTATATCCTGACAGTAGTACACAAGACAGATATTCTGTAAAAAACAGAATCCTTTGGCTCATTGTAGTGCTTAAAATGACATCAGAATCAGAATCAGAAATATTTTATTGATTTCTGATTCCGATTCTGGCTCTTTCTAGAGCTTTTAATGACATTCACAAGAATCCACCGGGCTTGAACAAAAGCAACCAATCAGAGTCAAGAAAGACAGTTGATTGTTGAGTCTCATTCCTAGGGCATGAAATACTGATGTTTTGGGACCCTGGGAATGAGGATTCTTGCAAATGCCATTAGGAGCGCTACATGGCTAAGTACAAAGTGTGGATCTAATCAAGTGCCTTTTTACAGATGGTGTGATGTTTACTTCCAGAATTTGCTGGTATTTTTAGTGGAATCCATTCTTCTCTCTATCCATGCCGATCCATGCTTAACAGTTGGAAAGGTGTACAGATGCAGGTCCTCTTCTACAGAGTCCACCATGTTAAACTGCCATGTTTAACCCAGAACGGACAAACCAAACACTGGCTCTAGATAGGGCCTTCCAGAAGTTTCACGGCCACCGTAGAATCTCCTACACACACACGCTCTCTAAGCTATGGGCCACTGCTACCTTTAACTAGCTGAGGAAACTGTTTTTGGGAGCTTCCAATCTCAGTCCAATTTATACACAAGGGGAGACCGAGGTGGGGCACACATAGTGAGTAGGCGTAGACTGAAAGTCTTCAGTGGCCCTGCTTGTAGCAGTCCAGCCAAAAAGAAAATAAATACATTCCAATGATTCTCATCAGTCAATACTGTATTCATAATTTTCCAAAGCAATGTTTGTTGAATGTACATTTTAAATGTTGTCCTAATGTCTGTCTTATGTTGTTTACAAATAGTGCTATCAGTTAAACTCCATGAATATTTTTATCGCAAGATTAACGTTCTTTTTGGCCTAGCACACTTTGTAGTTTTTTTCACATGCTGTTGCAACAAATAGTAACGTTAGAAAAACTACAACACCACACCGGATCTAGCTAGACCGGAAACAAAACAACAGGCACGCTGCGCACACTTGTTTAAGAGTAGCAGACGTTACGTTGTGAGTGGATGGCGAGCACGAGACGCCGAAATGGATGCCCATAATATTCTGAATGGAAAGTTAACTTTTAAAAAGTTGCCAAGTGGTTCCATTGACAAGAACAAAGTGATCTGTGTGTTTTGTTGTTGTGAACTGAGCTATCATCGCAGCACGTCCAGTCTGAAATACCACTTGATGGCCAAGCACACAGCTGATGCGAATTCTCCGCTCCCTCGTGAATTGAACACTACAGTATATGCCAATGTTGTTTTCAATTAAAAAAAACATTTGCACAAAGCAAGCCGATCTACTTTTCCATGTTCATAAGAGCATTAAAATGAGAAAAAAGAATGGGACAAAAAGAAATCAAGGGACATTTAGAATAGATAAAAATGTGCGATTAATTGCGAGTTAACTATGACATTAATGCGATTAATCGCGATTAAATATTTTAATCGTTTAGCAGCACTATTTACAAATAAACTTGCCTTGCCAGACCAATAACGCAAATTACATGGTACATAATTGGTAATAATAAAATAATAAAAAATATAATAATATATAATATATATATTACTATATATATTAATATATATATATAATAATATAAGAAGATATTTACTGTAATTTCCCCCTGGGATTATTAAAGTATTTCTGATTCTGATTCTGATAATGTACAGTGAGGACGCTGTGGTATCTTCCAGCTCTGGCTTTTGCTCTCACACAGTTCTTTGTTAATGCAGAGACACATCAGCCACAGATAGTATCCGTCTGAATCCAGCAGACTCATAACTTGACCTACTTACCACCTCTTGTTTGTCTCAGCTGTGGTTACCGCAGCCCCAGGCTCTGTTCAAGTTCTAGTCCTTTATTGTCATATGTACAATTACAGGGAAGCGGTCGTTGGCAATGAAATTCGTAGATCTCAGGTTCCCTCCAACAGTATGTACAATATGTATGAAGAGAAATCAAAAGTGGAACGAAAAATTTTAAACTGAGACATAAAATAGTGCAGCACTAAAATATAATCTAAATATCTAAATATCTAAATATAAAATAAAATAAAATATCGTTGGACAGGTGACAATTGTGGAAGCCAGGTGAGTAACAGTAAAATATATAAGCTGTAATGTTACAGTTTTGGAGATGTTCTGACCCAGTCGTCTAGCCATCACAATTTGGCCCTTGTCAAAGGCGCTCAAATGCTCACGCTGACCATTTTCCTGCTTCTAACACATCAACTTTGAGGACAAAATGTTCTCTTGCTGCCTAATATATCCCACCCACTGACAGGAGCCATGATAACCAGATAATCAGTGTTATTCACGTCACCTGTCAGTGCTCACAATGTTATGGCTGATTGGTGTATATACACAGTGAGAACAGGTTGTAGACAGGTATGCCTATGTGATGGATGAATTTATACTGTGATGGATAAACAAGTTCTAAACAGGTAAGTAAGCAGGTGGAGCCAGTGCTGTAGAAGATGTATGTATGCATGTACAATACCAATAACTTATGTATGGCAGTAGTGTGATGGTGTCATGAGGGGTGGTGTGTCCTTATCCCTGTTGTTCCTGCAGTCCCCAGTCAGCTCCTTTGTTTAACTGATATTGAGTTAGAGGTTGTTATCCTGGTACCAAGATGTCAGGGCTCTGACTTTATCTCAGTAGGCCCTCTCATTGCCATCGGTGGTCAGAAAATTTGATGATGGTGTTGGAGCTGTGGGTCCCCATACAGACATATGCATGAGCAGGGAATACAGGAGAAGGCTGATCACGCAGCCTTGAGGTGCACCAGTGTAGAGAGTCAGGGGGAAGATGTGGTAGTGCTTATCTACTTATCTATGAACAACATTCTCACACATGTGTTCCTCTGGTCCAGGTGGGAGAGGGCAGTGTGGAGGTCTAGGACAATGGCATTGTCCATTGATTTGTTTGGCTTATACGCAATTTGTACGTGATCCACTGTGTCAGGAAGACAAGAATTTATGAAAGTTTTGACTAACTGCACAAAGAACTGTAAAGACATCTGCCAGTTGATCTGCACACATTTTGAGAACTGCAGCCAGGGATTTCATCAGGTCTTGTCCTTAATCCTTTTGAAGGACCTGCACACATCTGCCCTGGATATTATTAGTTGGCAGGGGTCCTGGGCCTTTTGCACTTCGAACTCTTGGCTTTTTGTTTTTATCCAATTTACACTAATAGTAAGTCAAGCATTTTTGGCCCCATTAGTAGAAAGGATCCAGAAAAAGATCTTGCTGGGGGGGGGGGGATAACTGACCTTTGTTGGGTTTACCATGCATCACTGCGTTACTGTATGGCTGTGTTCTGTATGAGTGTGTCTAATGTAAAATAAAAGAAACTAGAATCCTTTCATGTGCTGGTGGTTGTGTGGGTGGGATGATGTGATGGTGATGGCTCTTCCAAGTGTGGATGCCTGATAGTGGATCTGTGAGTTGGAACAGATGGCCCCAGTTCCACCATGGGCCTGCCATGGATTTGTGGGGAGGTGACATAAGAGTCAGCCAGTGGGCTTGGGCGTTTATTACTGTCAGCAGTAGTGTAGAGAAGCATTCACATCTGCCAGGACTACTGATGTGTGATTGTCATGTTTTTATAATGCTCTTTGTTGTGCAACATGTTGTGGCAAAGGGCAAGGTATTATTTAAAGGCCCAGTTTGTAATATTTAGAAGGATCTAACATTATATTCAGAAATAGATGGCATTCACAACAATCTTGTAAATGTCATTAGGATCACTAGAACAAACTCTTTTTTTCACAGATTATCTGTCTCATATGTTACTGTAAGGATATAGTTACAGTGTCAGGAAATGTGAAAAAAGAAATACTTTACCAAACTTACAATACAATGTTTTTTGTAAAAATTATTGTTAAAATAAGAATCTTTTTATATAAGATGCTGTGACATTTTCTTTTTAGCATCATTGCAACAATATGTTGAAGTAGATGGTAAATGTTTCAGAGAATATTAATAATTATAAGAAGTAATACATGTTTAGAGGCCATTCCCATTCACTGCTTAATATGCATTTGTAACATTAATGGTGGTAAGGAAAAGGAGGAGGAGGAGGAGGAGGTGAGCAATATCAGACAGCGAGCTACCTGTCCCTCCCAGCTGATTGTGGTTGAAAAGATTACACTGTGTGGTCTGAATGGATAAGTGTTCTCATGGCATTTAGCAGAGTTGATAAATTGCAGAGATGATGCCAGGCCAGTAATTACACATGCAGCTTTAAAAACATTGTTTTTTTTTAATCATAAACAGCGGTTACTAGCTGCTAGCTAGGTTACTACAGTAGCCTTCATTATGATACTGTCACACTGGAGAGTATGATACATAGAAAGGTGTTTTTTTTAGAATTTAAAAATAAGAGGGCTGCTATTTTGATCCC